TTATCTATGTTCAATGCTTGAAATTGGATTTGTTTAAATATTTAAAGTTAGCCAATTTGAGTTGTAGAAGCATAATTTTGTTTGGCATAAATTGTCAAATATATAAAACAAAATATAATTAATTTAAACAAATCATTTTAATTCAATTTTTTTAAGTTCAATTTGATGAAACTCAAAGTTAAAATTAATCATAGAAGGTGATTTTGTTAAGCACAAACTGTTCATCTACCTTAATTGTACTCAAAGTTAAAATTAAGCATAATTTTGTTTGGCGAAAGTTGTGTTAAGAAAGGCAGAGGTAGACCTAGGATGACCTGGGCATATAGTATAAAAAATTATGTTAATTTATTAGAATTAAATGAAAATATGACACTAAATAAGACGCAATGGAGAAAAAGGATTCAGGTATCCAACCCCACTTAGTGGGATAAAGGTTTTTGTTGTTTTTGTTGTAAATTGTCAAATATATAATACTAAATATAATTAATTTAAACACATCATGAGAATTTCTATTTTTTTAAGTTCAATTTTATTTTTTTCTTTATGATGAAACTCAAAGTTAAGATTAAGCATAGAAGACGATTTTGTTAACCACAAACCATTCATCTACCTTAATTGTCTTCTAATTAGTAATCTCGTTAACCTAAAGTGAGACTCTATTACCAACTTAAATTAATCTATCTTTTATACTTATTAAGATTAAAATTTTCTTTAATGTTGATCAAACTCATCAATGTGTCAACTTCATAACTTGTAGATAGATGATATAAAATTTAATGCTTGATTTTTGAGTCTTTAGATCCAAATCTTTTTAAATTTTCATAATGTTCATCCTCTTTTAAATTTTTTTAATTAAAAGAATAATTTTTCTAATAGAGTAACAAGCTCAACAAGTATTTCGTGTTTGATTTTATTGTGTTTCTAAACTATCTTGTGAATGAGTAGTACTCTCCTTTAGACGGCTTCAATATTTGAAATCTCCCTTAAACAAGATCAAATCTTGAACGAGTTGAATACTCCTTTTGACGACTACAAATTTTGGACAAGTTATAACTCTTCTCTTGATGATTTCAATTTTTTTAAGAGTTCAACTCTCCATTCAAGCACTTAAAATTTAAACAACTTGAGCTCTCCCTTCAACTGCTGTGATATGATTCACAAAGTACTTGTTGAATTCCAAGGATGAGTTGCCCAAGTACACTAAATTTCATAGGCAAGTTTTCTGAGTGCTTCTCGAATTCCTTGGATTAGTTATCTATTTGTAATAAAATATATATTTCATGCATATTGATTATCAATGTTTTGCTCGTCTACTTATTAAAGCATTCAGGGACCAGCTCTGTGCATCGATCCATGTTTAGCTCTCATTTAGTGAAGTTGGATCAAGATTTACATGTGTTAATACCAAAACACCCTTCGTAAGACTTCTATGATCTCCCAGAATTCCATGTTTAGCTCTCATTTAGTGAAGTTGGATCAAATTTTACATGTGTTAATACCAAAACACCCTTAGTAAGACTTCTAAGATCTCCCAGAATAAATAAATAAATAAATTAAATTGAGTAATCTATATATATATATATATATATAGAGAGAGAGAGAGAGAGAGAGAGAGGTTCTTAATTTTTTATGTCAGTGATATACCAAAAATATATGCATTTTTATACCTATATTTTATACTCATTTTTTGTGATGTTGCACTTCAATGAAAGAAATTTTTATATTTTTTTTCCAGGTTGTTGAAAAGGAAGCAAAAATGATGAAATTTAGAGCAAAAATAAATAAATTGAAAATTTGTTCAGCGCCGACGACATCATTTGACAGAGAGCATTAAATTAAATAGCGGAACGCTGGCGCCGACGGCGCCAATGTCGGTTCAGCCCCTGTTTCTAGAATTTTCGGTTCAGTCCCTGTTTCTAGAAGATTCAACAAATTTGAATGATTTTTGAAGAGTATTTGGAGGCACCTATTGGAGAACCGACTCTAGGCTTTATTTGGGGCCGAAATTGATCAAAAAAGTGACTCTTCCTAACATTTCATCGCCCCAATTCAACCCTCTACGCATCACACATTCCTTCATTTTCATTCCACAATCATTTAGAGTCCATTATTCTTATAATTTAGAGTTTTGTGGTAAGATTAAGTGTGAATTCTTCTCTATGAGTGTTGGAGAAGGAGAAAAGTGAAAGATTTCTTCTTTTTTCATTTCCTAGAAAAGGCTACAAGGGATTTGATCTGAGAAAGAGTTTCAGATAAGTGTTGTTTCTTTATTAGTGTTGTATGAACTTTCTTTTATATATGAAATTTGTGTTTTATTGTATCTTTCTCATAAAGTCTGAGTAATTTACTTTATCTTTCTCCCTACTCTGAGATAAAGTGAAATGAAGAGATAATATAGATATGTCAATATTAAAATATAAAATAAATTATGATGATTTTTCAACTCCAAACTTAATTATTTTTCGATCTGATCAATTGAATTTTTAAAATATGTTGTGAAACATATGCTCCGAGAAATAGAGTATGAGTTCTACAACAGAGTGAGGATTACATTTGATTCCATGAAGGAGAACTTCGTTCATGGAATTAAGTGCAAATAAATAGGAAAATATACTTTGTTGGGTGTAAAATTAGAGAATCTTTAGGGTGACAAATTAAAATCCTCAATTATGACTAAAATACTTAATTTGGTCTTAGTGTTTAAAAACTAAAGCGAGAGTTAGCCTTCAAGTGAAGAGAAGTGGGAGCCAGTATCTTCCTAGCCTAGCCACGAATTTAGGGACTAAACCTGAGATTAGCCAATGATTTTCTATAACAATGTATTAGGGTAGAGAATTAAAACTGCTCTTATTTGACACAATACATATTTAAACCATTTATTTCATCTCATTTTATCAAAATCTTATTGTAGTGGGAAAGATGTTTTTTCACATAAGAAATTTTAATCACATAAACATACTTTAATAGTTTAATAGTTACTGTTTAAACTCTGTATTTCATTTTCGTTAATAGTTAAATAATTTAATTATGATACTATCTCAACATTTGAAATTAGTGACAGTAATTTTGTTTTGATTTTATGTGAATTTTCTAGTAAATTTATCATTTTTTTTATGTGAATTTTCTAGTAAATTTATCATTTCAAATTTAAACTTTTCACGTGGGATCGATATTTGGGGCTTAAATAGAAAGTCTTTTATTACTTAATAACGATACGTATACTTGCGTAGAATCTCAATGTTATTGCTTAAATTTCTAATTAAAAAAATATTGCATCAATCTTTTGGCATAGTTGCATAGCGAAGTCAACTATATAATTTTTACACAACTATATATTTTTGGGATCAATCAGCACAAAAAAATGCATCGAAAATATCACTTATCAAAAAATTGCCCTCTAATCTCATATTAATAGGATTCTTTGCACAAAAGGAAAAAACTACAACACAATCTCATAAACATGAATAGGCATAATACAGTTCTATTAGACGCATAAACATAAAAATCAATACTCTAATAGGTACATGTAGATAATTGTGTTGGATAGTTGATGGAAGGAATCTCGATTTAGTAGGTAAAGATGCAGGTCTTTAAATAGTTTTGTTGACCATGTGATAAACTCACCTTAGCATGACGTAGGCAAATAGCTACTGATGATGGGATGAGTGACATCCAAGATGGGGAGAGAGTTCTATTGTGTTGAAAAACTCATTTTAATCTAATAAGTTAAATATGATTCTAGTTACTTTACCCATAATAATGAGTTTAGGATGACTGTGTGAGTTTCATCATAACTGATGAATTTTGTGAGGGTCATCATAACTGATGAATCCAATATGATTCTAATGAGTTTATCATAATTGATAAAATCAATATAATTCTGTTGAGTTCATCATGACTTGCAAGTTCAATATAATTCAACAAAGTTTATCAAGATTGGCAAGTCCGGTATGATTCTAATGAATTCAACGTGACTTCACTGAGTTCAATACAAGTTCAATATGATTTTGTCGAGTTCAACGCGACTATAGCGAGTTCATAATGAACCTAGAGAACTCATGGTAAACTTAAAGAGTTCATGGTGAAACTAGACAATGTCCTATTTTTATTCTTCCCGCATGATTAGTGTATAAGAAAAATACGTCAACATGAATCTAAAGTTAAACTAACAACGACAAATGGAGAGTTGGACAATGGATGGAGGATCAGGCGATCGGACACTTATAGGGATCATCCGATCGGTCGACAATCTCACGATAAGATAGCTATCCAAAAGCAGACCTAAAGACCGAAGCAGTCTAAGATATGATGATTGGCTCATAGCAGAACCGATCGATACCGAAAATCGACATGGCAATCCAATGATAAACGATCAACTGAAGAGGACGATCAGCGAGCCTCATATCGATCGGATAAGCCCACTTGCTATCTTATTGTATTTAATATATGTATTTTACTAAAAGAAATCCTCAAAAGCTAACGAGGGCAGATCAATAATTACAACATTCATACCACTATGCCTATAAATAAGATATCATTTTACAAAAAGATATTACAAGTTTCTACTGTTTATTATTGTTTCTTCCCTCTCTTTCTCTGTGCTACACTCTATTGTTGTGCTTCCTGTACATTTTTGTATTCAACAATTAGGTTGTTTGCTTAGTTTAAACTTAGAATTGGAGTGGCACTGCCTTAGTTTATGCAATATTTTAGCGTACAATGCTCCCGTGACAACAAATGCCGCATGGCTTGCTTTTAATGACCACAAATAAAAGAAAAGCCAATCACAAATTCCTACCAAACTAAACATGAATTTCCACTTTGAAGCAAATGATAGAAAAGATAATTACGAAAAATTCAATCTAATAAAAGAAGCGCCAGACTAAATACCAAATAGAGGATGCGAAAGAGCAGATAGGGCGACAAAATAAACATCGCAGCTCTTCCACAACGGCGCAGGACAGGGATAAAATATGGAGACGGATGGAGAAAAAGCTCACCACGCTCGAGATGAGCTCGGAAATGGTTCCTATACAAGCCCTCGGAAAGCAGAAACTTGTGGAGGTCCAGCACCTCCAGCCGCATTGATCCTGTCTCCTTCTGAAAACCTAACGCTTACCGGATACAAACGACGCCGGAAGTAGCACTAATGCCGATCGGACCTCAATACCCTACAAGTCGTCCCAAATTCTTTGGCGAAAGGAAAAGATACGCGCGAATCGCTTCTTGGATCCTCTCCTTTCGCGCTCTCGCTCTCTCATTCGAAAATGGAGGACTTCGGAAAGAAAAAAAGAAGGGTAGGGCTGGTCAATTGCTAGAAATTTGAGTGGAATTTTGGCTCCCATAGAAAGAGAAGTAAAACTAGTAAAAAATAAAATTTTGATTCTAATTATTTTTATGTTGATTTTGAGTTGCTTTAACTCGGCCTGAAATCAGTTCGTTCACTGTGAATTAAGCCAATATAGCTTGAAAATTATTAATCGTTTTAAAATTGATTCGAATTTTGCCTCGGATCTTGACTGGATTGAGGAAGAAGGAGCAGAGCTTCTAGCTAAAATTTTGGATCAATTTTTTTTCGAACCAACTATGAGCCAACCCCAACTCTGCTCGAAATCTGATCTTTAGCAGCCCTACCTAACGGGAGCGGCACGTATCATTTAGATGCTTGTCAAAATGAGGATCCATTGATTTATGCTAATAAATAATTTAAAGTATATAGTAATGTAAATAAGTTATAAACAAATAGATTTTCAATACAAATAATATTTTTAATAATTTTGAATTTAAATTTTGATATAAAACTCATCAAAATACAATCATTTATGTATTATAAATAGATGACTAGATAATTATATATATTAAATATATTTTAAAAAACGGTAAATATATATAGATATATAAATATAAAAAAAAAGTTATTATAAGAGTTTACAGCATAATTATATTAATATTATACTTGAAAACTTGGCATTTCAATGTTATATATTAAAATAATGTTACAGCTTCAGCTAGTAAGTCCTAGGCGTCGGGCATGTATTGAACTAGGGTTAAACTCGTAATAGCTAATATATTTAAGATTTTAAATTCATAGTTATATATTTAACTTAATATGTTGTATAAGATTAAAAAATAATAATTTAATTCAAAATTAAAGATAATTAAATAGGTAATTAGGATGGTTTGGTTATATATAATGGGGGCTAGTTCTCCAGTTTGACCTGCGAGTTTTATATGATCTGATTTTCCATTTCGACCGGCAGTTCACATCTACTTTCATTAGTTTAATGCGAAAACATTTCTTGAGATGACATGAATTAACCATATGCTCAGTTCATGAACGAATCGGTTGGTCCTGTTTGATTTTGATTATTTTCTCGTCTCTAGTTGTTTGTATATAGAGCTTTGACAGACTCAAATATGAACACCATATTAATAGAAAGTTGTATGCGTTTTTCAACACAATGTAATTATTCTTATTAATTATATGTTAAGCAGTGTTCAAACCTTATATTTGTTAAGCATTGCATGATATATATTTTTCATGCATTTTCCATGAAATTCACTCAATGACCTTTTTCTTTTAGTATTTTAAGATCCAATCTATGTGTTGTTTGTAGCATAAAATAGTTGTTGTTTATAAGAAGCATGCTCCCACGTTATATTATCTTACAAATTACTGGCTTATCCATTGTGCTACAATAATGTCGTTTCTCATTCAATTTCTTGTAAAATAGTAGACCATCAAGGCCCCGATTTCAACGAGTTTATAGTGAATATGTCAATCTCAACAAGACAAACCCGATGATACCAAAATTGGACAAATTTTAGTCCGAACAAATTTATAAACTAAACAATTTCAAATCCATCTACTATTTCACCTTTTTACAATAGGCAAGTTCGTATTAGCAAAGGAGATTTAGAGCAATTTTTAGAATGTTACGTGCATCACATGTATGAATTATACAACACAAACAATTGGTTCATTTACAATACCCGTTAATTGGTCCCCTTAGTAGAAATCTCGTTAGGACTCGCCTTCCTTTTGCTCATCGTCCCATTGAGGTGGCTCAATATGAAAATACATTAGTGGCTCCTCACTTGAAAGGGTAGGCCACCCTGCATATAATAACTTAAACAAAAAATGATCCCAATGATATAATTACTTTAGTGCATCCATCATACACATATTAATATGTCGGTTGTTCATCTATGATATAAGTAAATTCATTTATGTCACATCAATGATGTCTGATGAGACATCCTTCATAACAAATTATAATGATTTATACTTGAATAGCTTCCTTTTGACATTTGTTGTCGCCTTTGTCTGATCATGGTTTTCACGGCTTGTCACCTATTAATATATTTTTATTTTATCTTTACATCCCAAAAGGATTCTATTTACCAAAGATATGTCCTTGTGAGGACTTGTTTGACCCCTATAAACACATCACCCATTTCAAAATATTTATACATATTCAATACATTTATAGATTGTTTTTTATAGTATTTTGCATTACACTTAACACATAAACCTCTACTTAATTTCATTCTCTCCTTTAATAGTTTATAGATGAAGTCTTCGAGCTCGCTAAGCTTTTCACAATCACATTCATTTTTAATAAGAAAATGTTAACGGTTCATCCTAACCCTCTAAAATTCACAAAAAAAATGAGAGAGAATTATTCAAAAAAGGTTTTCAAATTTTCTCACTCTAAAGCTTGCTAACAAGATATCCTTTTTGTGGGATTTTGTGCAACCCACTTCTTCTTACCTTAATGTGTAGTAGTGTTTACTTCTATGTCAACACCATCCATCTAACCTTAATCTTTAATTGAGAAAAAAGTGAGCTAGAGTGTTCCCTCTCGTTTACATAGTCTCAATAATATCATCAATCTCTTGATTACACCCCGCAAAATATATAAATACAGCTTACATACTTATAGAGATCCAAAATAGCAGATGCATTGAGTTGCCAATATATATACATGATATCAATTTGTGTACCATTTAAAATTTTCTAGATATCGTTGATTAAAATTGATTTATTTATGATGGAAGAGATTAATGACTAATTTATCATGGATATTTGCACCTATGATCATAAGATTATTCTATAAATATATGCCTACTAGAAGGAGGGAATCATAAAATTTTAATGGAAAATATCATCACTGTCATAAATTTTTTTTCTTTGGAGGGGCATCACGAGCTATCCTTCATTTTGTCTAACAAGAGGTTATTGAAGACAATTAATTTATATCTGAAAACTTTAATTTTGATGGAATATGCTACCACTACTTAGATTATACAATAGTTCATACAAAAATTTGGGTTGCTTCTACAAACACCAAAAAAAGTTAATTCATACAAATAATTATAGACATATAATTCTTCTCCATCTTTATAAAGCTGAAGTTGACCAACACTAACCTATAACATTGGTTCTATGGTATTTGTGTTTCTAGAGGTTATTTTATACATATTTTCAATGAAATCACATTTTCACTTAAATTAGGGGAACCATTCATATAATTGACTCATTTGGCCACAAACTTCATTTTTTTGGTTCTTCGTAATGAAAACTTAGTCAGTATCTTTCAAAAATAGATTGAAACCAAAATAGGGAAACAATAAACTTAGCAGTTGATGTCTCATCAAAAAAATTTTATCGTCGAACATGAATTTCAAATCATTTTGAGAAAGAAACATTACACATTCAAATTCAATATCACTTGAGCACTGGTTTATATGGTCAAACTGAGTGTCTCAACTAGAATGACCCAAAGATACTGAAAGTGATCAAATACAGGTTTAAATTAAGCTAGATCAAACACTTAATTGTTGTGGTGTTTCAATTGGAAAGCTAAATGATCTTAAAATTTTGTATGATTATGGTCAAATTAAGCATCTAGAAAGTTAATTCAACTATGATGTCATTTTGAAACTTAAATATTAAATTTTATTAAAAAAATCAATGTGGATCAGCCAAGAATGTGTTCTAGGAGATGTCTAGTTTACCAAAATCCCCTTAAAAAAATTATAAATAGGCTTCAATTATTCGCTCAAAAGGGAAGAAGAAGAGAAAAGGGAATTGATTGCTAAAGCTTATAAACTCTTGAAGTCCCCGCAGTTGTCGATAGTCCTTCGAATAATGGCCGACCACTAAAGCTCAATTGTTGCCGACTACCAAAGATTATCATCTACCAGCAGAGGTCACAGTCAATCACTAGCTATTGTCGATCACTGCCAGCAATAACTTTGACCAAAAGTAATTGCTACAGCTAAATACGACGGTTGTAGCTACCAACCACGACTATTATGGCTAACGACTATTATTGAGGCCAAAAAATGAAATTAGTGCAGTCTAGTTAGTCTATTGTAGCCAAACTACTATTATAAAGCTATGATCATCAAATTTCATAATCCCATCTTCCATGGCCCAAATGAAGAGTAGATCTAAGAACTCGTGATTACATAATGAATGATTTTAACAATGTTAGTTCTCGTGTTTATTTTTTCCTAGAGTTTTTTCACATGAAAAATCTTAGTGTCTTTTCCCGCCACAATTGATCTTCGTGAAACACTAAGATGTTAAATTATCATTAAAACGTCACAAATTTGCAAGCACCTAACCCCACTCAACTGCAATCTCATCAAAAACATTTTTTACAGCTTCTTAATTAAAAAAATGGAATATAAGATGCAAAATTATTAACTCTTAGAAATACATAAGAAGCGAATTTTCTAGGGATTTTTTTCTCTCTTTCAAGAACTTTTATTGTCAATACATTTATTAATTTGTTATCTAAAAATAAAATTTTAATTTAAAATCAAATAAGTTAGTTGCAATAACAATTGAGTGAGAATTTATATTTTTTTTAATTTATTATTATTTTTACCTCTAGGGATTTATTTTTTATTTAAATAAGTTAGTTGCAATAACAAACTATAATTCTTTGTTTTAAAGTGTGTGATGGTGTGATTCAAAACTACTTATAATAAGAAAAAAATTAGTTCACGATCCTCTGGGAATTAAAGGTCTAAAATAATGATAGTGGCAGTGGCTTAAAACTACATGCAAGTTATAATTATTTGTTAGCAAATTTCTTAGTGATTTTAGTTTTGTCATCTTGCAATTACCATTACTTAAAAGAGAGATTTACATTATATCACACAATTCTTATGTATTTGCAAACCTAGCAACGATATGTCGATGTATAATTATATAACAACTGATTTTCCAAAATGACATTTTATGCAAATTTTTTTGATGTAATTGTGGCCCCGAGATGTTAACTAGTAAATAT